ACTGTCGTCTTGTGTCTGGGGGCTTCTTCACTATACCATACCTTTCTTGAACCATTCCGCACCAATAGCTAAACGATGGCTATTATGTGACTACATGGGAATCATCACTCTCATACAGGGCTGCTTTATCAGTGGAATCTATTTTGGATTCTACTGCGAGCCTTACCTTCAGCGATTATACTGGACTATGGTGTGTCTACTAAAGTAGATATATATACCCGGCTGGATACATCAGCTAACAACCGAGAATTACAGATTGTTGTCCTTGGCTCGTTGACAGCGACCATACTGCTGTCGTCCAAATTCCAAGACCAAAAGTGGAGAGGATTTCGTGTTGCCGTGTTTGTTTGCACTGGCCTCTCTGCATTTGCGCCTATTACGCATGCTCTATTTCTCTACGGACTAAAGCGAAGTATGAATGTTGGCCTGCCTTATTATCTCACTGAAGGCGCCATGATCGCTTTCGCGGCTTTCATATATGAGGTGAGAAATTCCCATGCTGTCTAAACTTTCCCATGCCTATAGGCTGAGATTAGCCTCAGCTTTCCTGTCAAAGCATTCGTGGTTCATGTGTGTTCTTGAACTAACGAGATATCAACAGAGACAAATTCCTGAACGATGGTTTCCTGGGAAGTTCGATATCTGGGGGCATTCCCACACTATCTTCCATTCTATGGTAGCCCTGGGGATGTGCATACATTATGTCGGCCTCCTCGAGGCACTGGAATATACTTACTACAACAGTCAATGTACTGTTAGATAGACGTAAAAAGCGGGAAGTAGAAGTAGACACGGCCTCCCTGTAAACTATATACCCATAGAAGCATGAATATACATGATGAATTGCGTTTATGCATTTATCATCAACAATAGTCTATGTATATGTGCAATCTATAATATGCCGCCCACTCTACTTCTCTCGGTATACCAACATGCTGCTCTCAATGTCAGGTTTTTGTTTACCAACCCCAGGAACCAAACGTGCCTTCCGCCTGAAGTACACCCTCTTCGCCAGCTTCCATGTTTCTGCCCCAGCGAAAAACAACACCGTACCTACCAGGACGATTCCCCATTCCCACGTTATGCCTGTATGACGGAAAACCTTCCTATTTATAATGGGAATGTATAAGAGTGGAACAACGATGACAAACCCGGAGATATTTGCCCAGAACAAGAACTGGTTTTGCCAAATATCGCGGCACCACTGTGAAGCGATACCGGATGATGAAGACGAGGGCCGCATGTTGAAGAATGAGCGGCGCATATCAACCATCTCCCAGGCTAGGAAGAGGACGAACCATGTCAAGCATGCGAAGGTAGTTGCTCGTGCTCGGAAGACTAGTTCACACCCATCGTAGACCTTGTTACAGTTTTTTCCAAGGTAACCATCTCCAAAGCCGTAGATTACTAGTGTAAAGGCTCCTAGACACAACGCGGCAACCCAAGTGCCGTAGACAACCATGTCTAACATGACCTCCCAAGTAAAAATGCCACGCTTAATTACAGAGTTAGTAACTAGACTTGAAACCGCCGCATACTAGAATGAAGAGAGATACGATGGGTTTCTAGACTTACCTTATGTGGAGGCCTTTGCATGATATCCATCGTCGCCTGCTCAAAACCGAGTCCCATATCCGGAAGCCCCGAAGTAATCATAACAAGCCAAATAATCTCAACAGGGCTCAATGGGAAAACAGATAAATTATCCGCATCCTTGAACACAAGACCAAGAAGTAGAACTATGGCCTGTGCGAAATTCTGGGAGAGAACATGTAATATGAACTTCTGTATATTATCAAATATTCGCCGACCTTCCTCGATAGCATTGAGAATTGAAGCAAAGTTATCATCGGTCAAGATGATATCTGATGCATCTTTTGCGACATCAGATCCGGCTAAACCCATGGCTATACCAACATCAGCGTTCTTAAGAGAAGGCGAATCATTAACCCCATCACCCGTCTGGCACAGTTAGCTTATTTGTGATTTGTGGGTAAGCAGATTGGGGGTTATGTTACCATGGCTGCAAATTTGTTTCGCCTATGTAGTGCATTGATCATTCTAACCTTGGTGTTGGGTGCACATCGTGCTACTACCAGGGGGAGCTCAGGGAGGGTATCAATCTCGGTATCTGACAGCTTATCAAACTGCTGGGCAGTCATAACCATGGAATCAAAGGTGGCTTTACTCAGCATATCGGTATGAGATGGAAGAATCCCTACTTCTGTGGCAATTGCCCTCGCTGTGCTTGGATGATCGCCTGTTAACATGTGGACAGAAATACCGGCTTCGTGGCAGCGACGCACTGAAGGCGCAGATTCCGCGCGGGGAGGGTCGTAGAGTCCAATTAAACCACGGAAAACCAAGTCATGCTCCACCTCTTTGCGATCCAGGTCTAAGTTTTTACAGTTTATGGCTGAAAGTGGTTTGCTAGCGAGAGCAAGAACACGAAGACCTTGTGCAGCAAAGGCTTCCATGTTAGCTAGAATGTCACCCTTGATCTCGGGGCCTATGGCCTCCAACTCCAAACCGTCAACGCTTTCAATAGCTGAACATGATGACAAAACTCGTTCAACAGCCCCTTTAGTAAAGACGAACATGTCGCCCGTCGATGATTTAAAGACAGTGGACATTTTCTTAACATCCGAGTCAAATGGAAACTCAGCAAGTTGAGTCCATGCCGGTTTGTCTCCAGAAATTAGTTGAGCACGGTTCCAGTTGAAGCGAGTAGCAAAGACCTGAATGGCGATTTCCGTGGGGTCACCATGTGTTTCCCAGTCTCCAGTAGCAGCTTCACGAACAACTGCAAGGTTGGCCAATGATGCAACTTTGAGGAACTCATCAAGTGGACAATCGTTCTCTGTTTTGGTATATTCACACTCAGAAGTATCTTTGCTCTTTGTGTAATCTATTTTGTGTGGTTGTTTGTGTTCAAGGTACAGCTTACCAGCCCTCGGGTTGAATGGCTGACTTGTTTGACCGACTGAATATGTACCTCGTGCAGGTACCCATGCTTTGTGCGCCACCATTTTCCCTTGAGTAAGAGTGCCAGTTTTGTCAGAGCAGATGTCTTCCAAATGTTAGCTTCTATCGGTGTACAAAAGAAGCAAAGGGCTACTTACCAGTAACTGATCCAAGAGCTTCTAAAGAGTTCAAATTTCGTACAATGACATGTCTTTTCACCATCCGTTTCGTTCCAACTGTCATGGAAATGGTCAAGACTACCACCAAGGAGGACGGTATCATACTTAGGCCGGTGGCCACTGCATAAACAATTACTTCCTGGTGGTTGCTGAATTTATTTGCAGCAAGAACAATAATAGCACAGATGACTGCAGTTCCGAGTAACATGAGCGCAAGCTTGGAAAGCTTTCTCTGCAACGGCGTACCAACATTTAGTCCCAAAATCTCGCCAATAGCATCATAAACGGTTAAAGAGCCAGCTTGAATATAGCGATAATAACTAGCAGATTCGTCTGGGTTACGCTTTACATGCCTATGCCGCGTACCCTTTGCCCGAAGTGCAGCCGCAATGGATCCGATTTCTGTATGTATACCTATTGAAAAGACGATGGCTCTCGCGCGACCTTTGGTAACAATTGATGAGCTGAAGCAGACGTTAAGACGATCACCAGGTCCAGTATCATCACTGAAAGTTGCATCGGCATCTTTCCGCACTGGCAGGGACTCGCCAGTGAGCAGAGCCTCATCTGTCTCCAGGTTGACGGATTCTATGAGCCTACACAAAGTTAGTATAGAATATATCTACGCCACAGAGAGCACATTAGTTACCTCACATCTGCTGGGACAGTGTCACCAGTCTTCATCTCTACTATGTCACCGGGTACAATTTCTGCAGTCGCAATAATAATTTGACGCCCATCCCGTACCACACATGCTGTTGGGAAACTCAATGATCGAAGCGAGCCCATAGTCTTTTCTGCCTGGTATTCCTGGACAAAGCCAATGCTGATATTGATGAGGATGACTGCTACTAGCACACCTCCTTCAATCCACGCATTAATACCAAAGCTCACTGCCATAGCCATGGCCAAAATCTATTTGTCATGTTAGCCGGAGTCATTCTATGTATATTCCAAGGGGTAAACTTAGGCCTTACCAATGTCATGGCATTTGCAATCTGGCGGAGTAACATTTTTGCAGGCTGGACAGGTTCCGTGTTCCCGAGGTCATTTCTCCCATACTTTTCTGATCGTCTCTGGGCTTCTGAGCTGTTCAAACCATTCTCTGCGTCGGAGCCTATCTCCTTAATGACAACTTCATATGGAAGACTATGAGCCGGCTGTGATAGGATGCATTGAGCTTGACCCTGCTCGTGATTCATAGGCTGGGCCTCTTCCATGGCTGCTGCAAACTGATAGCGAACAAAAAAAGGGTACTGATACAACCCTCCATCTGCAGCTAGTACTCAGGTAACTGGTTTATTTGCTTTGCTTAAATATGATGAGCAAAATCGTCTCGAGCATGAGTCCTGAAAATAAGGTAACCTCTAACCATGCATAGAGTGCCGCCAAGCTTCCTGATTAGGAAATAATGCCAAGAGGTACATTGGATATAAAGCTTGGCTCGACCACTTGTCTCAAGCTGTGGAATATAAGAGCAACGACGTCGACGGCGGGAAGAGGCAAGGTAAAGGTGAGATATCAAACGACAATCCAGTCATTTCCGAGGCCCTTCAGCTTCTTAAGCCATCCGCTGGCCGTTTCGACAGCCGTGTCTTCCATCGCCCATACTGCCTTCAGCATCTCAATGGCGGTATGGACATAGCCCCAGGGCAGCATCTCCCATAGGTCATTAAGACGAGCCACTATCCAGGCCCGCTGTGCTGGATCTCGACTTTCGGCACCGGCTATGAAAGTGGGCCAAGAAGTGCCTTTCAATAGCAAGTTTCCGGGGAGAATGAAGGAGAGGTGGCCAATTATATCTTCGACAATGCGCTTTCTGCTGCCGTCATCCATCAAGTTTGCGGATGGGACGGCTTGATGGATGTAGAGACAGACTGCGGACTTGTGAGCCGAGGCTACATGGACACGGCTTTCAAAATCATTGTGGGAGGAGATGCCTTGTACGGAAGCCGCCCAAGCATCGATATTGAATGTTCTAGCTCTCTCCATCAGGTAGCGGGCTTGCTCTTCTTCAAAACCGGTAATCATGTCCAGATTGGACAGATGGGATGCCGAGAGCATTATTTGTAAAAGAAATGCAGGACATGACATGTAGCTGTTGGCCTCTGCACGCTCAAGCAATGGCAGCACATCCAGAAAGGGGTAGCGGCTCGTCGTTGACCCCATATTTGGCTGTCGAGCGGAAAAGGTCGAACCAAGGATGTAGTAGCTAGTTTTCAAAAGATTAAGCTTTCGATTTCTTTTTGTGTGGTTCCGTAATAGATAATAGGGTAAAGGTAAGCATTTTTTGGGAAAGAGAGATAATTATTTGACTTACATGAGGCAGTCAGAAACGACATGGTCGCGCAACGCACTCATAGCAGACGATATGTTGGAGCGTTTTGATAGGCCAAAGTAGTCGATAAGTTTCTGGGCACCTTCGACATGTACCTTCCAATCATCCTTTCCAGAGCTCACAAGCTCATAATTAATAGAGAGTAGAATGGCCGTAAGCACAACTTCTGGATCAACAGCATCTATATCGTTCATGGCCTGGTTGAGAAGCTGGAGAGTCTTCTGCTTTGCCATCAGTGCATCATGATGAGGATATTGGCCAGGAACTCCATTCAATAGACCGGGGCCCTTTGACATCACATTTGATATATGAATAGCAGAATTGGCAACGATGACATGCAGCAGGAGTGCATGGTCCCTTATCAGTGGAACAATGCCACGATAAGGATTGTGCCTAGGAACGTCATATGTTACAAGATCACGGCACATCTGGTCCGTAACTAAAACTCGTAGTCAGCTATTTCTGTTGAATATTCAATTTTTATGCACACATAATAAAATAAACAAGGCTAATGATTACAGTGCGAGATGTAGAACCGAGATGAACGGTCAAGATCTTGGAACAGCGGGTCCACCAGGCACGGATTAATTGATACGGAGGTTTCCCCTTCGTTGTCAGAGGCCTCCGCTTCTGCTTCAGCCTCAGCCTCACCGTCAGGCATATTGCTAGGGACAAAACGGTACTTCAGGGGTAGACAAAGTTCCTGGTTCCCGGACACCGCAGTGGAAGCCGCCGCCTGGTCGGGGACATGGAAGGACTTTCCCATCATCTTTCCACGGCTTGCCACGCCTCTGTTCCAGACGAGCAGTTTACCGTAGCCTAGGCACTTCTCTCCCTTCTTAATGCATTTTTGACAGGATGGCAAAGAACGGTCACACCTGAGCCTTCGACGTCTGCAATTGTGGCATGGCTTTGCCACAGCCGCGCTGGGTGCTATGCTAGCACTAGTGCTGTCCACGACAGTAGAAGGCGCCGGACCAGTCGCGGCCATGGTTATCGTCAGTCGGACAAACTCTTCTCCAGGGCAGAAGGGGCATAACGTCGTCTGTGGGACGCTGAAGCGCACGAAGTCGACGATGAAGAAGCAGCCATTTTGATAGACGACGTTGTCCCGAGGTCTTGGCGTTGTTTTGCCATCTGTGCCTGACTAAGCAGAAACATCTTCAACATCAAAAATAATAACACACTCAACTAACTACTGCTGCAGACTCTTGAGACAACTTCTATCCGAAGTGTTTTATCTTCAGCAACAGCTGTATATTCAGTTCATCCTTAGCGCGTTACTCAGCGTTTCTTCTGCAAAGTCGACCCGGGGTCAAGGGGGCCGTCACGGCCAAAATAGAACAGCTCGCGGCAACCCCTGGTGGTTTTTCTCTTTCCTGGTCGCACTGCCACCCGTAGCGGCATGGGCCGAAAGGTAAAAATAGGACAACATGACGCAGGCTGTAGACGCAAGGTACGATGTCACTGGCTATGGCCCCAAGATACCCTGGTTGATGCAGTGTGAATAATGCGTCCAGGTGGATTTATCTTACTGAGTTCCCCTCATTTTGTTTACACCGTACATTAGTTCGGTAGAAGAGGGGTTACTCCGGACCCTGGCGGACGCGATGCATAGAGGCGTATGCCGGCTAGCTTGGAGAGCTGTCATGGGTCGATGTGTTATTGATAGTAGCTCGAGGGGGCTCATCGCCATGAGCTTGCAGATGATAGATAAAGAGGTACCAATTCCTCGTTGGTAGGGTAGTCAATTGACATCAAATCCAAGTACGGATACCGTCCTGCTTCAATACTCTCAAACAACTTTAGTACTCCTGTACTACTGCCTACTACCATTATTACTATTTTATCATCATGCTCACTTCACAAACGATCGTGCTACTCATAATAGTAGCAGAGGTGTTGATATTTCTAGTTCTCCTGGGTCTGCTGGTCGTTCTATACCGCATTATTATTGTACGGTATAAAGAGAAGAAAGCATCTACTCCACGGGACATTGGTACGTTACTACGCATAACACTAATAGAGAGTAGATGTATGTATGTACTAACACTTTCCAGAAGCATTCCCAGTTCCAACTACAAGAACTACGTCACCGGCACTATCCTTGGAAAAGGAGCTCCTTCATCCGGCCCTACGAATCAACACTAATGTCAACACCAGTAATTCACCGCCAGCACTTCAATCAACGATCACAAGGCCCAGCGCTACTGCAAACACTACCAACAAGCCAACATACACTACACCAGAGCCATTCCAGTCTGCTAGCGCCCAACTACAGTATAAATATCTTCTTTCACGCCTACACACCCGTCCTCAGAGGATACAAGCTCTGCGATCAGAATCTGTTCCTCGTCATTACTCGTCTCAGGTCTCAAGACCCGTTAGACCGATCCACACCACTTTGCTACCACCTAAAAAGCTGCCGGTTATTCAAGAATCGGTGGCTAGGGGTAGTGTGAATGTTGTTTCTCCTTGTTCAGATGCTGTTCGACCCCATACTTCGGCAGATCAGGTTGATTAATGTCGTTTTCTAAGCATTTTTCATCTCTTTCTCTGGGTCCAGTTACGATGCATACATGGCGCTGGAGGTTTGGTTGTCGGGATATCACGGAGTTAAAAAGGCTTGTTTGGCGAGGCATGGAGTGATTTTCAGCATATTATGGCAATAGACGGATATCAGTATTAGAGCAACATGAATGATAGTAATCAGATGTATATATTCGAATGGTGTCTTATTCTTGTTATCGAATGGGTAATGAACAGATGATAATCAAAAACTCCTCGCTTTAACGTATCTTTTTGGTTTTAGCTCATTTATTTACATGCTCATCTAGCTAGAGCCAGCAGCTTCGAATCGCTTGTTAATTCCCATGACCTTCTCTACCTCGTTCTTGCTGCCGAGGAAGATTCCACTTCTGTCATGTATATGTTCTGGCACTATTTCCAGCAATCTCTCCATCTTAGAATTGATAGCTGAACCACCAGCATTTTCAAAGATGAGAGCCATGGGGGCACACTCGTACAGGATACGGAGCTTGCCCTTTGGACTCTTAGAATCAGCCGGATAAGCAAAGATACCACCGTACAGCAGGGTTCGGTAAGCATCAGCAACCATGCTACCAATGTATCGGGAGCTGTAGGGCTTCTTGCCGGTCTCGGGGTACTTGAGTTCCTCAAAGTACTTCTTGACCCACTCAGGCCAGTACATTGAGTTTCCTTCGTTAACGGAGTAGATGGAGCGGCTGGGTGGGATGCGCATGTTGGGGTGGGTAAGGATGAATTCACCAAGAGCATTGTCGAGAGTGAAGCCGTTGACTGTTCCTGTCTTCACAGTCATAACGAGCTGGGCAGAGGCGCCGTACATGGTGAAACCAGAGGCAACCTGCTGGGTTCCAGGCAGGAGGACGTCCTTGGCTGTGACTGTCTTGCCGGCTCCGAGGATCTCGTCAGGGAGCTGGAAGATTCCGAAGATGGTGCCAACAGAGACACCGGCATCAAGATTTGAGGAGCCGTCAATGGGGTCGCAGACGACAGCGTAGCGGGCATTGGGGCTCTCATCGAAAATGATAGCCTGGTCTTCCTCCTCGGAGACAAGGAGACGGCACTTGCCTGATCCCCGCATGGCGGCAACGAAGACATCATTGCCAATCACGTCAAGCTTCTTCTGGTCATCTCCGGTGGTGTTGGAGGAGCCAGCCAGACCGGTGAGGTTGATCAGGGTGGCACGACGGATGTAGTATGCGATGGACTTGAAGGAGAATTGGAGAGCATGGCAAAGAAGACTGTCAAAGCAGTTAGTACACACAATCTATAAAACGGCATTACGCTGCAATTGGGACATATGGGAGTTCATACGTGAAGTCACCGGTAGCCTCTGGGTGTTTTGACTGCTCTTCAGTCAAGAACCGGGTGAGGGTGATGATATCAGTGTTGATGTTCTCGTTGCCAACGGCACCAGCGCCGTTGCCGTTTGTAGCGTCTGCCATGGTGGATATCTGTGTATAGAAAGAAGACGAGGAGAGAAGGAAGAACAATTCAGCAGGACAAGACAACAGAATGCAGCTTGGCTTGGTTCAAACAGGGGGAGGAGAAGAAGAAGGAGAAGAAGAAAGAAAAAGAAGAATTATATCTGCGTCCTGTCTCCCAACTCCCCGTCTTCTTCTTCCAACAACGTCACAAAACTAGCCAGAGGTCACTGGACCCGCGGGAGTTGCCCGTGAACAGCCGCCGCGGGTAAGGTCGCAGGTACTTCTCCGCCCATACAAATTTTGCGGGTGAATGAAGTCACTGCGACCTCCGTGCTGCCCCTCGAACTGCCTGGCTGCCCCTCCCGGCTTATTTTCGCGCGGGTTTTCTGCGTGTCAACGTGACCCTGCTCCCCTTTGAATTCGCATGGCCGGAACCTAATTGCTGGCTCAGGGGCCAGCCGCCAAGGTGAATTTGCTGTCTAACTGCATGATGGAAACTACATATCAAAATAATAATAATAGCTAGTGCATCGACATCAGCAATTAATAGGATGAGCGTCCGTACCTGAAGAACCGCAAGCGAAAAGAAACGAGAAAAAGTCACTGCAGAGTCGATCATGAGTACCTATTACTAAGCGGATGTTTATCCGTTCGGATTAGTTGTCGGAGTATTTATCTTTTTACGGTAAAAGGCCTTGGCGCTGCTAACTTGAAAAAGCTTCAACTTTTTGATTGAATTTTCTTCCTTCCTTTTTCACTGTGCGAATAAAGAATATCAACATCAACAACAACAACAGCAGCAGGGCTGATTATGGGCTGCTAAACAAGATGCCTACTTTACTAACTATTATAGCTTTGGACCCGTATCATGGCTGCTTCTCCTGGTAAGTTCTTCTTGGGCAATTGGCTTGGGTTTGAAATATTTTGTGCTGTGTCCTGCCTTGGTGATGATTTGTACAACCGCTTAAACTAGAGTCTTTGATCTTCTTCAGAAGAGATGAAACTCCAAAATTGCACACGTCAGTCTGAATTGTATTTGACTACTT